CAGCCGAGGCCGGGGGCGAGCGCGACGGAGCCAGCGCGGTTGCACCTCCAGGGCCCGCAGGCCGTGAATCCATCAGGCGGCGCAGTTGGCGGCCTAAACCTTCGGCGGCAGGTTCCGAGGCTTGGCCCGGTGGCCGTGAGTCGATGACCAGGTCTGTGATGAGCTCGTCCAGCTGCTCGAGGCTGCGCTGGCGGCTGGAGGCAGGTCCCTCAGGGACGGTGGGTGCGGGCTGCCGGTCTACCTCCAGGCAATTCCCAGCCCCTGGCAGTGGGGCGCTCTACTGAGCGCAGGTCATTGTCCGTGATGGTTATCTCGGGGGTGATGTACCAGTTGCGGCCCAGGCTTTCCCCACCACGGCCCTTTTCTGTCAGCGACGTCTCAGACAGTGACAGTGCTGCATAGCGTCGGGGTGAGGTGGACAGGTTCACTACGACTGGTGGACGCCGGCCTTCCGGGGATGAACCCCGTGTATCTCGAACCTCACGTCCCAGCAGGTTCTCATAGCTGCGGCCACGTCCTAGAGGGTCTTCACGACGAGGACCAGGAGCCAGGATGTTGTCCCAGGATCGAGAGTAGTGGCGGCTATCGGTCGCCAGCCGGGGTGGGCTTGTGCCAGTGCCACCATGCCATGAGGCCAACAGTGGTCCAGGAGCGGGAGGAGGCACCACCTGAAGGGTGCGGTAAGGCCTCGGACCCCAGTCGGCCCAGGCTGGGCTGCTGCGGGGATGTGGGTAAGTCCGAGCCATTGCGTCACGTTCACGGAACCTCCCATAGTCCTCTGTGTAGAAGGTGCGGGCACCGGGGTGTGCCCGCGGCTCTTCTGGGACATATCGGGGGATGAAAGGCAGGCCGTAGGCGCGAGGTGTCTCCCCGTAGTAGGAGCGGGAGGGGGGCTCCTGGATTGGGAAGGTGCGTACTTCCCCAGCATAGTAGCCGCCCCCACGTCTTGGACTGGGTCTGGGGTGTTCTTCGGTCAAGTAGGGCCTGGAGCAGTAGCCATCAAAGGGAAGGCCTGGGCTTGCGGTAAAACTGCCTGCGTAGCCCTCAGGTTCCTCGGTGTAGAAAAATTGGGTGGGACCTGGGGGCGTTGTGAAGGGTTGGCTGCGGTGCTCCAAGTAGTCCTGGGGCCCAGGCAGAGGTCCGTCGCAGTACACTGCTCTGGGGTCAGTACAGTACAAGTCACTAGGGGTGGGAGTGCGTGACAGGGCCATATGGCGGGGCCCTGGAACTGTGAGGCCATGAAACTGTGGGGCTGTGCGAGCCCAGGGCGCCTCGCTGGGCGGGCAAGGTCTCGAGCTCCGGGCTGCGTGCTGCAGCACTGCCTCATCAGGCTTGATGTCCAAACGGCAACGGACGTGGGGGACGGGTCCTGTGGATCCCGTGGGTGGTTCGGGGGGCGCACAGCGGCCTGGGGTGGCGCATAGAGGTGCGATGCGTCCAGGGCCGCCTCGCTGTGGCTGGAGCTTGATGGGGTGCAGCTCATTGGCGAGAGCCCGCAGTGCAGGGTATGAGGGTTCCCGGTGCGGCGACCCTTCCAACCGCACCGAACGCTGGGCCTCCCGGCCTCTGCGTTGCAGTACCGGCGGTGAAGCCGGAGCAGGCGTCAGACCATGGGGCGCACGGGGCGCGCTCTTGGAACGGGTGCGGCGCCGAGGCTCGCTGTCTCGGGGCCGGGCACGCGGTGGAGCAGGCTCGGGAGGTGGTGGTTGCTGGTGCGTCTCCATGGTGGGCTCGTCCAGTGCCTCTAAGAAGTCAAAACTACGGCAGTGGCGCTTGTTGAAAGGCGCGGGCGCAGCTGGCCGGGTCACCGATCGCTCACATGGCTGGCGTTTGGATGTGAGCTCTGGGGCCACCACCTTGATGTCCTGGTACACGGTCGACACCAGCAAGTCCGGAGGGTCCGTACGGGTCATCTTAAAAGACGTCCCCAGGCTGGCAGCTCCAGTCACTCGGCCTTTCGGGGATTTTGCCCTGGGAGGAGATACAGGTCAGGGCAGCCTCCTCTGCACCCCAAGCCCTTTATCCCCACCGCACCCCACGTGCTGGTCCGGCTTACCTGGGGCATAAGGGATGGAGCAGCCCAGGCTGCAAGTCTTGGTCAGGGATTCTGGTGCTGGCTCCATACCTATGTTAGAAGAAGTACCTGCAGGAGAAACCTCACAGTCCATTCGTTCTGTGGGGCAGATTTTCCAGGACAATTTAGTTTACGGTGACCTACCTTTATCCCCTCAGCAGGAACTCTCGAGTCTCTTCCCTATACTAGGGTCCGCTGATCAGGCTTGGGTAGATCAACCCGGGAATGTGTTGCAGAGCTGCTGCCCTCTGGTGCCTACAGTTGGAATGATGGGCTTTTAGATTTCCTTACAGGTGAGACTATAGCCCCCACCCACCAGTACTGCAGAGCTATCCCTCTGATAGTGCCAAGTCCCAGGTGTCTCTGCCTGCTGACTAGACTGGACAGAAACTCCTCTCCTAGCACTGTAAGTGCCCTTGCATTTGGGACAGTCCTTTTTACCCAAGCCTATGTCCCTTCAACTTGATGAGGTCCTAGGTAGAATGACCCCAAAGAGTTTTCTTGGGTCTCAAATCCTTTTTCCTTTTGCATAAATCTCTGACCCCAGTTCCTTGGATGAAACCCACCAAGCTTGTTAGGGCAGAGAAGGCTGTAGAGCAAGCCTTCCTATTTTGCATAATTGCAATGACCCCTCCAATCCACTCCCCACCCCCCTTCCCCCATGTGTGCTTGGCATTCCTGAAACCAGGCCTAGGCTGTAGAACCACGTGGGGGCCATGTGAGCCACGAGCTCATAGTGTCATTTTCCTGAGCTGCAAACTACCACTAGTGTACCAAGGCAGGAGGCTGCCAGCTAGGAGGAGACAGAGGAGTGTGGGAAAGCAGAGGGAAGGGTGGGAAAGCCCCTCCCCAGGACAGAGTACCCCCCCACTCTGGTTTTGGAAAGCTCCATGGAAACGTGTGGTTGTTTCTCCCTGGAGCTATGGACTGGAAAGGATCTAGGCTAATGTTCAGATGTGGGCCACCAGTGCCTGTGGTCCCCAGGGTCTGGAGCTGGCTGGAGAAAGGAGGTTTCAGAAGGTGATGAGACCCCCTTACCCATAAGGCACCTACTCCCAGGATATTTGCTCCAGAGTAAGCTGAGAGTGTGTTGGGGCCTGGCAGGACTTGTAGGTGGATGGGCCTTTCAGAGTCAATCTCTAGTCCTGGGCGTATAAGGGGCTTTCTGTTAGAGGGGCCGCTTTTTTGGAGCCAGGGGCTCACTAAGTACCAAGGCTTGTTCCAAACCCGAGTTCATATCCACCCTATTCAGACCCCTTTCATTTTAAACTCAATGCCAGGTCAGAGTTTGGGCTAGATGACAGGATCTGAGGCTCCGCCCCAGGAAGGTGACAGCAAGCTTTGCTGGCTGCAGCTGTCAGGAGCTGGGTGCTGTGACACCCGCTCCTTGTGGGATGGGGGTAGGGACTGCTTTTGTATCCTAGTTATTTCGAAGACCCTTCCCATATAGCAACCCTTCTCTGGCTTGCCCTGGAGCAGCCAGCCCTAGGACCTAGGCTGCGTTGCTTGGGGGCGGGGATTCATCCTTCCGTGCAGCCCCCTCCCGTGCCAAGAGCTCCACATGCTGAACAGTTTGGCTCAGCCTCTTACCTGATTATTTTTCCACGAGCTGAACCTAGGTAGGCTGCATAATCCAAGTCGGTTCCGGTGTGTACCTGTCCCCGCTATATAGCCGGTACCGGCAGAAGCTTGGAGGCAGCAGCTCTGGTCCTGGCCTGGATGCTCAGTGCTGCCCCCAGTGGCGATCAGTAGTGTGGCACTTAAAGGGGCCGCGTTGGAAGGGAGGTGTATAGTGGGGGTCCAGATACTGGTCGCCCTAGCTCTCATTTGGGCTGTGTAGAGTGACGGGTCATGAATAGCGTCCCCAAAGCTCTTTGGGTTCTGAACAGAGGTTCCCTGCACCAAGAAAAGCCTGCCAGCAGGACTCCACGCAGGGTCCTACTAGAAACCTGAAATCTTGCTTGGCGGCAGACACTCTGGGTTTGGAGAGTTTCCAGAATTCATGTCTGTGGTTGGACCCAGGTGGGAGCAGATGAGCAGTTCCCTGCCCCATTGGCCTCTCCCCAGGAACTGTCGTCCTCTTTGGCTCTGAAGAGGCCAAAATCTCAGCAGGTACCTGGGAGCCAGATGGCTTGCTCAGCCTGGAGTACAGCTGCAACCTCCAGTGTCCAGGATAGCCTAGGCTGCCACAGCCTGCTTCCTTTGGGGAAGGTCTTCATGTGGTCCATTCCTCACTTAGCCCTGCCTGCCCCTTGCCGAGGCACTAGACCTTCCAGCATTCTAGCTTGGTAGATGATGGGCCACAGACGGACCTGAGACTAAGACCCGACTTGTTTGGGTATCAGACCTGTCAAGATTCTGGTGCTTCAGCTCATTGTGTAGTCCTGGGCTAATTTATTGTAGACCCTTTCTCCACATCAGGGGTCCAAAAGTTGGGAGTTAAAGGGCCAGGTAATGCTTGTCCCATAGTACCTGCTCTGCTACCAACTGTCTTGTGTATGCAGCCCCATAGCAGAAAAGTAAGGGAGGTCCCCAATCCCAGGCCTAAGAAAGCACTCCCAGCCTTGGCCCAGCTGTAGGCACAGCAGTACGCCCCACCTCCAACAGCGCTAAAAGCCTGCCCGCCTCTGGAGGGTTCTCATGGCAACATGTCCGCAGTGGGCGAGGGTGGAGAGCTGTCAGCGGGGGCGAAATACTCGGTTGCAAGCGCCCCCGGACTCTTAGCAGGCAGGGAGGCAGCGCGGAGTGGGGGGACACAACTGCCTTCCGGGGGCCCAAGGTCCCTGCATCTCCTTGTGGGGTAAACCCTGAGCCCTGGCCAGGGAGCTCCTATGGCTGACAAGCTATGGTTAGGCACTAAGTCCAGATCACTTGGGGCCAGCATTGTGGAACGATCCTGTTGGAACAGGTACCTCTCCAAAATGGCTCTTGGGGTAGATATGGGGGTCCTGGCTCATAGATTGGGTGATTGAGCTCATTTTTTTGTTTGTTTGTTTTGTTTTTTGTTTTTCAAGAGAGGGTTTCTCTGTGGCTTTGGAGATTGTTCTGGAACTAGCTCTTGTAGACCAGGGTGGTCTCGAACTCACAGAGATCCACCTGCCTCTACTTCCCGAGTGCTGAGATTAAAAGCGTGGGTTACTAACGCCCAGCTTTTTTTTTTTTTTCTTTTCTTTTCTTTCGAGACAGGATTTCTCTGTGTAGCTTTGTAGACCAGGCTGGCCTGGAACTCACATAGATCTGCCTGCCTCTGTTGGGATTAAAAGCTTGCAACTCCACCACTTTGTAGACCAGGCTGGCCTGGAACTCACAGAGATCTGCCTGCCTCTGTTGGGATTAAAAGCTTGCAACTCCACTACCCAGTGGGTGGCCTCATCTTAAAGCAATTTAGGGAACCAGAAAACAGTCACACACCACAGTAAAATCGGAGATCTTTATAGTCTGGGCGGAGTGTCTTAAGAAGGTGCCCTCTAGGCTCACCTGCGCAGGTGCTCAACAAGCAGAGGCGCAGCTGGCACAGCGGCAAGCTGTTAGTGCCTCTCCCACAGGAGAGGTGGTACATTGTGTTCTCTTGCCAGCCTTACCCAGTGCGGGGCCTGGGCCACTTTGCAGTAGCAGATGCTGCCACACCCTCCCGAGTACACATCTGTGCTCAGGGAATGACCCTGCACTACTCTGGATCCATGGGGAAGAAGGCCCACAACCCAAGCCATGCTATGGCTCTGGGAGAGCTCAGGAAGGCAAGCAGGAGTGGGGCTGGGTGGTGGACATTTGAGAAGCCAAGCAGTCCCACACCCTGCCTCTGTAAACAGACCCTGGTGGGTCCCTTCTCGGCCCCAGGCACATCCCTGAGAAACACCGGGGACTGGCTGCAGCTCTATCTGGGGAGGGCTAGGTGGTTCACCAAGCCAGCTGCAACTCTGTTCTGTCCCCTCCCTCCCTGCAGAGCAGGCTTATGCTAGGTTGAGGCCCAGCACCTGCAGTGCCTGACCCAAGGGCCTGACCACCACCAAGGTCTCCAGCATAAAAATCAATGTAGAGTGGGCCAGACCACATGAGGGCAGACACAATGGCTGGGGGACATAGGTGACAGGGTGGTCCTGGGAACATGGGTACATAGGCAGCAGCCTCCCCAAATCACCCACTAGCAGTTCCTCTCTTCCCAGGACAATCAGCTCCTCTGGAATGCCTACAGCTCCTCATAGTCCCCACCTCCAGGGTGGCGGCTGCCAGGGACCCCACCCCCCAGGAAGGCTTCCAGCTCATCAGCAGCCTTCTGCTCCTTGCTCCGAGGGGGCTTCCTCTTCTTCTTCCGATCCTCCTTGCCTTCCTCTTTGTCCTTGCTCTTCTTGTGTTTGCTTTTCTTTTTTGTAGCCTTTTCTTCCTCCTGAAGGTCATGAGAGAAGATCTAGAGTCAATGAACAACCGACAAGGCTACACCCCACATTCCAAGACTGTCCAGACTAGTTGTGAGATTAGGGGTGGGCGGGGCATGTACCTCTTTGCCTTTCTTCTTCTTTTTCTTCTTCTCTTTTGAGGGAAGTTTGCTGTCTTTATCTGCACAAGGAAGACAGCTGAGCTCCTACCTGTAACCACTTTGTATGGTAAGGCAGAGGCTGCTACAGATACCTGATTCCCAACGAGACCTGGTCCTACAGGGAATCTAGGGGGTTCCCATCTATTTTTGTGCTGGTGAGTCTTGAACCAGCCTGGGAGGAAATTTCTTCCCCTCCTTTTGGGGCTGAGCTGTCTCTGGGCTGCAGTTCCAAGCACATCTGCTAGGCAGCTATCTTTTTTTTCCGAAATAGTTCTGTTTCAAAGGCCTGGAATGTTGGCAGAGCAGTTGGCACAGAGAGGGATACATAGGGAACCATGAACAGGGTGACAGTTTTGGATGGCAATTCTGGGCCACAATGCAGATGTTAGGTTTGGGCATATGCTTGTCTGGGCAAAGCCATCTGTTGTGACAGTTACTCCCATTCTAGAGACTCTTATAGCTAATAGCTATGATGTGTAGGCAGGCTAAAATTCTTAACGCAGGTCCCTGAACTACCACAGGATAAGGACCTCCAAGTTGTACATGGCTCCAAGGAGAGGGACAAGCTCCAGGCCCTCCTACCTTCATCACTGCTTTCCTTAGGTCCTGTCTCCTCCAGGCCCAGCCCAAAGAGATCTGAGTCATTCTTCAGTCTGAAAGCAGAGACTGAGGGCTTGGAGGGTAGGGGTGGCTGGGCAGAGCCAGTGTCCTCATCGGTCACATCAGAGAGGTCTTCTCTTACTGGGAAACCCCCCTAGAGAGAGAGAGAGAGAGAGAGAGAGAGAGAGAGAGAGAGAGAGAGAGAGAGAGAGTGTGTAGTTGGTAGGCCTATTGTCCTGACAACTGCCATGGGTTGAAGCAAGATGGCAAGTCCCTTTGGGAACCTAGGGGCTGGTGTGGGGTAGAAAGGGGTTAACCTGACCCAGATCAGCAGGGCCTTCATGTGGACAATGGACACCCACCCATGGACTCCTGTCCACTTCCTCCAGCTGGCTTCAGAAACATGTTAAGAAGGGATTGTGTCTCTGGGGCACTGGAGCCAGGAATACTCTCCTTCCTGCCTCTCTTTAAACCTTGCTCTGGGAAACAAACCTTGATTGTCCTCTATCTCTGGAAGGATGGAGGCTGAGCTTCCCACTGTCCTTACCACTCTCCTCTGCGTGTCCGATTCATCACTTTCAAAGTCAGGGTCATCCATGACGAAGGACAGCATCTGAGCAGCAATAGGCCCCTCAGGATCACTTTCTGACGACACCTGCTTGTCCTTTCCTTCTTGAGGTCTATGAGAGCCATCAGTAGGTGGCTTGGTACTGCCGAGGTCAGTCCCTGAGCCAGTGGTGAGACCATCGGACCATGAGGGTATGGCTCGGGTGGGAGCTCCCTTCTTTTGTAGATGTGAGGCCTTGGTGGAAGTCCTTCACATAAGAAGAAATGTCAGGAGTTCTGAGGCCACCCTAGGATGCCACTATCTCAGCTGGCCATACCCCGAGGACCCTAGCCCATACCGTTTTGTCTCAGGCTCTGAGCACTGCTGAGGAGCCACTCTGGGGTGGCCTGCCAGTCCTTCATCTTCCTCTTCACTGGAAAGACTGATGTTCTTACTGGGGATGGGGTCTGAGGACAGCAGGGATTTGCCATGTGGCTGGTCTTCTATGTCCACATCATCTTGGAAACCAGCCACCATTGGGTTCCCTCCTACGGCCTCCCCATCATCACTGCAAAGAGGGGGAAGGCAATCAGAAGTTCGAGGGGGGCTATGATTCCCTACCCCACTGCCTGGAGAGCTGCCCTGTCTACAGTACCATATTCTATTGACAAGACCTTCTGGGCTGTCACAGGGGCTGCTAAATAGAGGTGGGAATAATAGGACAACACTGCCTTGCTGCTGGCCAATGAGGGAATCAGTGGGAGAGGAGCCCAGCTAGAAGCCTTGAATCTATTTGTTTCTGGAAGGGAATCCCTTGGCTCCATTGAACATGATGATGCTGGAGATGCTAACAGTCATTCAACATTTGATCTGCAAGAGAGAGTGATCTTAGAGCTTGGCTGTACACAGGTTTTAGTGTGTTGTTAGAAGACAGATGGGGTTTGTGGGAAGGGGTAGCTACAGGAAGCCACACCTGGCCAAGGCTTGCTTGTTTGGGTCCATATGGAGAGACCCAGGTGGCCTTCCCTATGCCCTACACATAGAATGGGCTAGGATATATTCAGAGTGCCTCTGTCCCTGCTGGGCCATCTGCCAAGGTTCTTGCTGTCCTAGGAAGATTCCAGCCCAGTGTTCTCCAGTCTGCTGTGGGCATAAACTGCCCCACTCCATGGTGAGCTGGCTATCTACATACCCCAGGGTGGCAGTGATTAATCTAAGCAGCCCTTCCCTCAGTTTTTCCAGTCAGAATTCAGCCTTCGTTCCTTAAAGCTAGACACCAACCCAGCAAGCACAAAGAAAGGCTTTCCACAATCCCCAGCAGTGTCTTGGAGATCCAGGTATAAATGGGATGGGGAAGCTGTGTTGGCAGTCCCTTGAGGTAGACCCTGTGCTCAGCTCCATCAATCTATCTTTACCTGTCACTATCCTGCTCTGGGCCTTTGGTTCCAATTTTCTTCTTGTCTTTAGGCAGGGTTGTGTCTTCCAGGAAGCTTCGATCAAGGCCATCTTCAGGGACAAAATCCTCAACATTCTGGACTCTTGCTGGGGCCTCTAGGGCTGGAGCTGGCTCTGTAGAGAAATGCCGTTTCTTCCTTATGTGGCCCCATGATAGGAAAGCTTCAAAACTGAGTCTGTAGGACTAGGACTTGACAATTCATGCACCCTGACTCAAGATCATAGGTCCAAACAGCAGCAGCTGGCCCATGAGGGAGGAGCTTATTAGGGACACAGGAACCGCATTCCAGTCTCTGAGGGATGTGAGGCTCAAGATACCAGAAGCTAGCTCCAAATTCACATGTTCAGAGGGCTGCTCCCAGGCCTACCTGGAGGTGAAGGGGACACTTCTGCAGCTGGTGAGGTCCCAAACAGCCTAGAGATGATACTGCGACGCTGGGCTGGGGCTGGGGCTGGGGCTGAAGGCTGCACAGAGGAGGGCACAGCCTCCAAAGGGGGTGCAGGAGACGGTGCTTGGGGACAGGTGGAGGAGACACTGAGGGACAGCTGGGGGGCAGGCTGGGGAGTGCTGGGGCTGGAGCTTCCTGTGGATACAGCACTTGGAGGCACAACTGGAGACTGGGAACCTGAGGATGGACTCTGCCCATTGGCCGCCAAAGGGGATGCATGGCCTCGACTTCGAGCCTCCATCATTTCAAGGAAGCTAGGAGGGGCAAAAGGATAGGGAGTGAGAAGTTGGCTTTCTCTTGGACCTCTTTCTCCAAGGCTTTTGACCATCAGTGCCTCTTTTGCATTTATACTATTAAGCAGAGGATAGGGACTGCCTGCCAATCAGCTGCCTCACAGTCTTTGGTACCCAGACTAATGCCTTGCTTATATCCTGTCCCTTTATACTGGTACCTGCCTGGGGAACTGAGTCTCACAGCACAGATGAATGACCA